AACACACAGTATTATCATTGAACCCTACAGTTCCATTCAGCCCTATGAAGAATTTTAGCATCAGTCAGCTTGTTGTTTTGATTTTCTGAACTTGTTCTGGTTTCACCATAATGGCAGTTAGAACAGTTATTAGTCAGCCACTAACTGGTAAATATAGGCGACTGTATAGCTGCCAAAAAGCCAGATATTTCAAATCCAAAGCTAAAAGGAGAGTAAATATTGGGTTTGCATTCATCGTGTGACCATAAACATGTCTTCTGATGAGCGATAGTGTAGCTGTTTGCCAACGCTTCCCCATATGAACTTTATGAGGCGAGAACATGTCGGGTGTGTTGGGTTTGAGGAGACCGTCCAGAAAAAAATGAACTGAATGAATCTGTTGCATTGAAACTGGGACAAATAAGGCCTAATAAGGTAATTTTTCAATCTATAAATATGACTCCAATGATCACTATGTACCTCATTATGCAAATCCTGTAAATGCATCCTCAGTCTGAGATTAATTTACAACTTAATGAGGATGCAAATTCATGGAAGCTGCAGATAGGTACAGGATATTTAAAGCAGAAAGCTGGCATGCTGCTCATCCCGATCCTTCCTTAACCTCTGTTATGGTGTTATTGTTACAAACATGCCGTTCAGTCTTTGCCAGTATGCTCCATATCTGTCCGCAGAAACAGGAACTGTGGAGCGTCTTGAGTCTCCAGGTGCTTCATACTCAGGATGTCACTCTGACCCATGTTCACTTATCTTTTCTGACACTCCGTCTCATATATCACACACACACTCCGGTAAAACCTCCAGACACATCTGAGTGACGGGAGAAAAACAACTTCCCACTCATCAAAGAGATGTTGTGTTTATTTGTCCTTCTTTAATCTGCGAAAGCCTCACGGGGAAGTAGTGCTAATTATGTATAAGGGGAAACTACTGTCCTGAGAATTTACCGGTTGAACCGCGGCATGTTTGTACTGTAGCTCCTGAGAGCATTCCCTGCGTATCTCCATTTGCCATTAATTACCACGCCGAGTCGCCTCAGTTTAATTAAGAGTTGATGGAGGTTTTTTTTTTTTTTTGTAATCAGCCGGGAGAGAAGACTCAGTTTCAAGTGGGAGACTTGAGAACTGCTGCAGAAGTTGAAGCAGATCAGAATTAGCTCTAAGAACACAGGTATGGCTGCCTAACGCTGCACTGATCCATTCTTTAATACTTCCTGTGGATCAGATGTCTGCTGTTTCTATAGTATGTGTTGGTCGTAGTGACAAAGAATGCAGAGATTTATACGGAATCCCGTTTAGGTTTGCTGACTTGCATTCTTACTGCACAGCGATGTCTTTCCTTTGTGTTGCTGTTCTTTGAAATGCCATTTCTGGCCTTGGAGTAGCTATAAATACAACCCATTTTCTGTCCAGACATTATGACATACAGTATTTGTCACAGTCGCTATTTAAAATCAGAAATAATTATTTAATTGGTCAAAAAGTGGGTCGTCAGAGAGATTATGGAGAGCTATGCGTAGACTGAGGAACTGTTTTAGTTTCAGCAGCCCAAACCTTGGTGCATGTTTTAACCGCAGGAACTTGCACAACCTATTTTAGGTGGGAAAAAAGTACTTCCTCTGGGGTAGGTGCTACTGGGTAGCAACAGGCAAGTTCCTGCACAAGCCACCCTTTGGTGCACTTTCATTTTTAACATCACTGACCTGATTTCAATGTAGACCCCTTTTAGCCCAGGCAGCTCAGTTCTTTATTAAGTTTATATATCATGCAAACATTTATGTAAGATGCAAGCCCATATTTTGTGCTTTAATAACTTGATTTGACATTTCTTGATGGTTCAGGTGCATCAAGGCTGTTACATCCATTTTATAAATATTATAAACTGTTTATTCCATTTTTTAAAATATGTGTTTATATTTAGGTGGGAATGACATTCTTGTCTCATCGTGTGTTGCATTATGAGCTTGTTTGTGTGAGTCTCTGGATGGTTACGGTCTCTAACCATCATCCCGCTGTCCTTCCAGTATAACTAACATAATCCTCTGGTGTTTGTCTCATCTGTGAAGCTGCTGATTAGCTTACAAGGATAAGTTCAGTATTCTCAGTGCCAGGGCTGCTCAGCGGGTTTCTATTCCCACCGCTTCCATATTATATTGTCTGTCAGCTGCGTCCTTAGTCGTGTGCGGGACACCTCGTCCGTCGAGGATTTTTTTTTTTTTTTAATGCACGCAAACTCAACACCAGATGTTCGACCACCTTTGCTGCACTTTGATCAAATTTCAAAAACTCAGCTGCAAGTGATTTCGCCCCTCGTATCCTCGACCCGCACGCCTCTCGCAGACACGGCGAAGGGGGTTCTGGTTGCTGCGCTCCAGCCAGTATTTTCATTTTCAGGATATGAGAAGAAGGGGCTAGAACCAAAGATTTATGATCGGCATGAGAAGGCTCAGTGCGGAGAAGAAGGGTTGTGTGGGAAGCTGTGATGTGACCCAGATGGGAGATAGTGTGACCTGAGAGAGGATCGCACTCCAGGGAAAAGAGAGAGGACAGATGAAGAATCGCCACATTTGTGCAGTTGAAGGCAGAAGACGTATATTTCAGTGACATGTCGAAGGTTCGCAGGATCAACAGACCCCCAGCGTGCAGGGACCAGGATGAAGCGCAGGGGTCTTCACAGAGGGAGAAGTGGTTATAAGTGACCTGTGGGCTCTGATGTGCTCGGTATCAATTATGCAGTAAATCAACTTATCAGTGCAGGTCTCTGCTGGTTAAACCTGCTCTGCTCTTAGGTCATGTAAGAAGGACTTAATTAAGGGATGATGAACGGTCTGGGATTCTGGTGTGTTGTAAATTACCACTGACGCTGGGTGTATCTCCAAATGTGGGCATTACCGGAACTACGAGAAACAGCCCTGCCTGTGTAGCGCTGTGCACTTTCCAGTTTGTTCATTGATTTTTGACAAATCTTGGAGAAATCCGACGTTTCGAGAACCTTTTTTGTGAATCTGTTAGGCGGGATGTCGAAAAGTCAATCTGCAAGTTGTGAAAGACCGAAGTTATTGACACATCCTGAACCGTTCGCTTTATAAGCCTCGCACACACGAAAACAAGCATTACGAAACACGGCGCCACAGAGATTCAGGGGTCAAGTCATAAATTTAGTTGCGATAGAGTTTGCCATTCTCATGAACTCTTTACCTAGTAGGCCGAACACAAACACACAGTCATTCATCTCTTTTAATAACGCTGGAGACTCACCCTTCTCTGCAGGCTCAAAGTGACAGAGTGCCTCGCTGTCAGCGGCTTCACCTGCCTGCCACAGGAACCGTTTAGGCTGAAGCCGATATAATAGCGCTAATGTGTGTCTTCCTCCCAGATATAATTAGAAAGCATAAACCATCTGACTATACAACACTGGCAGAAAGGACAAGATAAAGACAAAAAAACCCCTCAAAATAATAGCGATTATGGAGGTGATGGACTCATTTGAGCTCTCCTCGTTGTCACGCATGACTCTGGAAATCCTTGCAGTCATGTTTTGGGGGGATGATGAAAGCATTCTTCTGGCAATCCCTCAAACAAGCCAAATCCAGTGGTGGCATGGGCTGAAACAGCAGGGGCTTATCTTCGCCTTTGTGTCTTGTCATGTTGTTTGAGGAAGCTAAGCCTCCGTCTTCTCTGCAGTACGCCACTCAGGTATTTGTGAGCTGACCAAATTTTGATGCCAAATACATTCTAAGACTTTGGATTGTTGGTCCTTTCCCAACTCGGTCTTGGTTTGATAGGAGTTGGGAAATATGAGGAATGCCCCGCGTTTAGATTTCTACAGCATTATCCAGCGCACGCATTGATTAGTCGCCAACACACGCAAGCAGAGGAGAGATGAGGAAATGCCAGGAATAGGTATTTCACAATGAGAACAAAATCGCAGAGCTGTCAGGTCGTGCTTCTGCTGCAGGTTTAGATAAGCCTCATGAGTGTTGTAAAACAGGTTTCACTAATTATTAGTGCCTCATCTGAACATGGATGCATGTAATTCCTCAGTGCTGTAGGAATCTAAAAGCTCCACTGATGTGAAACTTGACATTTTGCCACAGCATCCACATGTGGGACACGTGTGATTCGGATACAGTGCTGCCCGTTTATTATCATACCCTCGGACCAGGATGGAATTATGACTGTATCGGGGATATTCAATGAGCGGGCTTCAAGATTAGTGTATCGAAGTGTCCGTAACGATAGAGCATTGAGAAAACTGTGTCTGTGTGACGTAAAGCCAAAACGGGAATGTTTGCTCACGATCAAAGGGACAGTTTCTTTGAAGAGCAAGAAATGTTTATTCAAAAGGAGCTTTATGGTTTTGCTTCAGTGAAATTTCGCCTTTGTCGGTACGAAAAGCCACCGCCTCAATAAAAGTTATTTCCTTTAATCAGAGGGTATACAGAGGATTAACTCATCCTGATTAACTAGCTGAGCAGTTCAGTTATGAGTGACGACGTGCTCTGCAACAATTCTCTTTGATGTGCCTTAATTAACGTCAGACAGTGTGCGAGTAACTCAGTGAAGCAGATCTCAGGTGAGCAGCTAATTGACAAACAAACAAACACGTTGCCTTCCACGGCTGACCAGGGTGTGATAATCTGCTACGCATGACTGACACTCGGCCCGTGAACCGTAACGATCGGCTGACCGTGACTTTAAACGGGCAAAAGTTACTCCTGGAATCAATTTGGTGGAATTTTGTTATGACAAAAACCGGGATTATGACATTATTCTATGACAATAAACTGGCTGTTTTACTGCAGGTTATGTAGGAGATGATTCAGGACTTTGATATTTTCTAATTATAAACGGGATATTCTATAAGCATATAGTTCTATATGACATTAAGTGGACGGCACTATATTACCATAAAGTAACCCATCTGCATCCTTAAATCTACTTTTTAGCCTTTATTTACCATAAATTCCGGACTATAAGCAGCTAAACTTTTTCATACGGTTTGAACGCTGCGGCTTAAACAATGATGCGGCCAATTTATGGATTTTGAAATTTGCCTCGAGACAAAAGTGACATTGAGAGCGACAACGAAAGAGAGACTGAGGAAGTGTGTGATGAAGGAATTCGGAGGCTGTTCAACTCTGACACTGAAGAAGACGACTTTAGCGGTTTTAGTGTAGGAGGAAGATGAAGATATCGATCAATGACTTTTCCTGGTAGGCTACGGTATTTTTTATTTTCTTAACCAGCCGTGTTACAGGCACTGTTCGGAAAAAAGCATTTACATATTTGTGTATGTTACCAATACATATTTAATTAAAAGCTAAAAAAAATCTTTCTGTGCAAATATCTCATCTTACAACTTGGACACCTGCAGCTTATAGACAAGTGCAGCCTGAATATGTACAAAACTTGTTTTCTTTATAAAGTTAGTGGGTGTGGCTTATATTCAGGTGTGCTCAATAGTCTGGGAATTATGGTACTGATGGGAAACACTGGAAGAGAGAAGGTTTTGACATTCAACAAAAGTCCGTAGATGAGACCAGAACAGGGACATTTCTGCTTCATGTTCCCAGGATTCGTTTATTTTTAGTGATGCACATTTTCTCAAATAGCACTTAAAATTCTGGTCATTTTTCTGAAACCAGAGTAAATAATAAACAACAACAGATTTGACATTCTTGAGTCGTATAAATATTCAATCGTATTAACATGAATTTTTTAACTGATAAAATGAATAATTTTACCTGTTTTTGTACAATATGCCCTGCAGCTGTTATGTGTGGAGCTTTAAATAATGTAATTCTAATTATTGATTCCCTTTCTTAAAAAATGTTTCTGTATTTATTTGGTCAATCTATGCTATTTGTTCTTCTCTGCAGACCTTTAGCGTTTGACTTTTACTCTCTTCTTCTCTTGTAGCAGTTTAACTTACTGATTTATACTTTACTGAACTCAGTTTTCTAGTTTGTTGTCAGTTTTCTTTGTTATTTTACTGCTATATTGTACTTTTCTAGTCTGCAGGGGTCCTCTTGGAGGCCTCTACCCCATGAATGTGCCGTAGATCATATTATGGTATTCTGTGCATGCACACTACTGCTGTGCACTAATGCCCTTATGGAGCAGCTTCAGTGCAATCTGTTATGCGTACCCTGGAGGACCCCCACGTAATCATGAATTCAGAAAGAATCCCACTGAGCTCCAGCCTGCTGAATGCTACAGCGTTACTCTACCCAGCAGAGCTCTGGTCTACCATCGAGCTGAATTCTCCAGAGTTTTACACTATATAGCGCCGTGATAGCTCGTCGGCGATTCTCTACTCTCTGCTCTAAAGGGCTTTTCTGTCCTCATGTCCAAGGCCAGTGTTATACTCTCCACATCTGTAAGTACGTATAATGTAAATGTAATCATCTCACCGAATCCTTGGGAGTCGGCTCTGTGCGCAACACAAAATCTGTCTGCAAGGCGGCTACACTTTGAGGGCAGAAGTGCACACGCTCAGCAGTAACATGCTCAGAATTCATAGATACAACGACTGCACATGTACACGACAGAGTCTTCAAACTGGACTGACACTGCCCATGAGAAAAGCAGCATCACAGCAGCAGTAGCAACAATATCAACACATTCTTTGAATTATGAATATTTTGTACTTTAAAACCCTTGTGCAATATCTATTTTCTTTGCATATATGTATTTTTCTACTCATGTGCAATCTGTGCACTGTAGATAATAATCTAGTCCCACTCTCAGTGTGTCTTTGCTGCTGTAACACTGCAAATTTTCTCACTGTGGGATTAATAAAGGCTTATATCATCGTATCTTATCTACAGCTTCCATGGCAGCTTTCTGTGTGCATGCCCTTACCTGAATATAATCAAGGACAGATTATGCTTTCCATGTACACGAAGGTCTGTGTGAGCTCAACGGGACTGTGCAGACCCTTCCATGGAAAACTTGGGTTCATGTTGCGTCAACACTGTCAGGGCAGTGGAGCACATGTCTGAGATACGTACACGCAACCAACTGCGCATAGATGGAACAAATTCATCCAGGTGCACTCGATGTGGACGAGAAAGTAGAATATTGACAACAGCAAAGGCCAATTGATGTTTTTGGTGTTCTCTGTTTATACCACCACAAGGCCGTGCGGGTCTGTGCGAATGGTTGCATTGACCCTGATGTCAAACACAGAAAAACACACAGGGGCAGTATTTACAGCACAGTGACATAGCACAGGACCTCTGGAGAGTTTACAATTTCCCAATGTGTTTGGGATCTGTCGATGGAAAGCTGCGAAACAAAACTCCTTCAAAGTTCAGCAGCGACTATTTCTGTTGCAACTCTGATTCTGATGAATTCTAAAGGTGTGAATCTCCTCGTACCAAACATTTGCTATAAGCGCCACTTGTTTTCCCGGCATATGTGCGCTCGTCGGTCCCTCACCGACCCTCGCAGACTTGTGTGGATGACAAAATTCATGTCATGTGTACCTTTGCAGATGCAGACAAGCATGAATTGGCCTTTATGCATTCGAGGTGTCCAAATCTCAAGTACGAACAAGGTTTAAGGAGTTCTGGTCTGGTTTGAGCTTTAGTCTCCCGTCGTCGTTGGCTCTTCTGAGTTCCACAGTGTTCTACTACTTTAGACAGCTCTGTGTTAATCTACTGTGCTCCAGTCTACTGTACTTTCCTGTGCTCAGCCAGACCTCTATTCTAGGTTTGAACTCTTTGTTGTGCTCTGCTCTACTAAACTCAAGTCTGCTGTACTTTGCTGTACTCCACTGCTCTAATCTGCAGAACTGTACGGATCTTGACTCTTTTCTACTGCACTGCACTCATCTACTGTACTGTACAGGGCTCTGCTTGTCTAACTGCTTCTCAGATCAGAGTACCCTCTCTTCTCTTAATGGTCAGTCTAATGCACTTGGACCTTTCACCTCTGCCCCCATGGACGGGCCTCAGTAAAAATATCTCTGCTTGACCGTTGGCCTCCCGGTGTGTGTGTGTATATGCAGCCTGATAGTAATTAAGAAACAGATAGAGACAAGTACACGTGGGAACTGTCCCTACAGTACCAATCCACATTTCCTTTAGCATTTGGGAGTATTCCAGCGAGACATATAGATCTCAGCGTGACATAATTAAGTGTGAGTAAATGTAGGGGTAGTTTTGCCGTGCAGCTCTCCACACTCACATATATTACTGTGCTTTTAAAGCTGCCACAGCAATGTAATGCTGTAAGAATCACATCCAGTGTTGTTTTTCTGTCCCTCTGCTCATCAGGTAATCTGTCAAAGACCTGCAATGCGAGTGGCTGGAGCCCGATTAGCAACTCCTACGCATTAGACTGTGGTTACAATCCCAACAGCACCATGGACGACAATACGGTCAGTATGGCAACCGGAGTTTGAAACCACCACGTCCCATGGTGCTACTGCTGACGTGGCTTTATGTTGAATGTCAAACTCAGTCCAGATGAACTGTTTCCATTGAGCGTAATAGGATGTGTCGTTGCAGGGAGACTTCTTCGACGCTGTCAAAGTGGGATATACCATTGGTCACACTGCGTCGCTCATCTCTCTGACCGTCGCCATCATCATACTCTGTCTTTTCCGGTAAGGAGATCCATCAAAATGCTGCTTAATGTCCCTGTGTAAAGACAATCAAACACCTTTCCCATCATTTAGAGCAGTAAAACCCCATGTATCTCTGATTTTGCACCATATTTCCTGCATTTTATAGAGGCTTTACAGTGTTTTTCACACAGTAATGTGAGGTTTTGTGGGACAAGTCGTCAGAGTTTGACACCATCTGCATCAACATTGCAAAGCAGTGAACTGCAAGCAGCTATAAAGTCAAACAGTAAAGCCTAAGCACTTAGGTGGGCAGCTGTTGTTCACAGCAAGATCATTGTTAGCATTCAATCCTGAGGTTGCAAAGAGAAGATGATGTGAGTGCATGTTTGCATGACACAGTGCTGATCATTTGAATACGCGGCTGATGTGTGTAGTTTCTAATAAACAGGCCGGCCTGTTCAGTTGGGTGTGTTTGCATTAAGACTGCATGTTATGGACTAAACAATCAGGGATGTGTTTATTCTTTGGAATTCAAAAATTTTATTGGTTTGCATACTTGAGCAGAGACACAGGATGTGAACAGCATTTGCTGTTTATGCAGATGCAGCCGGTGTTCAGGCAGCTGGTTGATGCTGTGTGTCACTGCACTGGTCCTGCTGAGAAGACTCGCCTGATGGGTTTACACAATTCACCCCATGTCGTCAGCTCACCGGGAAGGCGTTTGTTTGATAACACCCAGAAGAGAGAATTTACATTTGTGACATTTTCTCTGAAAGCCCCTATGATTTCTTTTGTTGTTTACCTCCGCGCTGGATGTCAGGTCACAGTTTTTCACTGATGTTTCTGCCTCATAAGTAAATGTTATATTGGGAAACTGCATCCGCATAAGGGTGTGTAGATAGAGCACAGAACAGCAGGCGCACAATACAAAGTGATAGTCACTGACAGCGAGTGCCAGTGTTGGAGGTCACACGAGACAGAGCAGCTTGTTTTTTATAGATTTATTTATAGATTTATTTATACAGAGCAGTACTTTTTTGTTGTAACAAGTAACTCAGCTTGTTAGTTTTGCAGTTCAAGTCATCTGTTTTTGAGTTACTTTTTTTTACAATTCTGCAATTTCATTTGGTTTTTATCCAAAGCGACGTACATCTGAGAGCAGATACAACACAAGCAAGGATCTAGTCAGGCGAAGACAACCCGGATATGTGCCATAGAACATGCAATCCATCCATCCATCATCTATACACCGCTTAATCCTCACTAGGGTCGTGGGGGGGCTGGAGTCTATCCCAGCTGACTCAGGGCGAAGGCTGGGGACACCCTGGACAGGTCACCAGTCTATCACAGGGCTACACTTAGAGACAGACAACCAATCAAGCACATTTAAACACTCACATATGGAGAATTTAGAATCACCAATTAACCTCAACATGTTCTTGGACTGTGGGAGGAAGAACCCGGAGAGAACCCACGCTGCACGGGGAGAACATGGAGAATCCACACAGAAAGATCCCGAGTGTCTTAACTGGGACGCGAACTGGGGATCTTCTTGCTGCGAGGCGACGGTGCTAACCACCGGGCAGCCCAAAGAAACAATCCATTACTGCTCAGTTTTTACTCTACCATAGGCTATGCAAGGCCATGTCCAATTAATCAAATCAAGTTTATTGTCATTTTGTTGTACATACACAGTAGTACAGGCAAGATGAGAGAGCGTTTCTTCAGGATCCAATAGCTTGAAGCAATTTAAATAAAGCAGTGTTTACATGTCTGGATCAGCAGCTCAGCATTCTGACAGCTTTTGGAATGAAGCTGTTGATCAGTCTGGAGGTTCTTCCTTTAATGCTCCAGAAGCGTTTGCCTGATGGCAGCAGTTTGAACAGTTTATGGAGAGGGTGTGAGAATTTCCTGACAATTTTCAGTTCCCTGCTCCTGCAGTGGCTCTGGAAAAGTGTTGTGTTTTATTGTTTTCATAGAGGCAGCTGTAAATAACACCACAGGCTGTATGTAAAGATGGGCAAACCCTCCATAACATCACAAGCAGGTTTCATTAAGAGTGATTTTGTGTGTCGTTATCTCGGCAGTGCCTAAACTCTCAACTGATCCAAAAATGAGCAAAGAAGTGGAGCATGAGTGGAGCTAAGGTTGGCCGTGCAAACATCTCCAGGTCATGGACTGTCCAGTGACAACACCCACCTGTCACTCAAAGTGGACATACTCAAAGTTAACATACTCAAAAAAAAAATGCATGTTGTTCATCAATCCATTTTCTATTCCTGCTTTTTCCTGTGAAGGGTCATGGAGGCGCTGGAACCTATCCCAGCTGAGTCAGGGCAAATGGCGAGGTAGGGTCGCAGTCTACCACAGGGAAAAACCCACACAGGCACAAGAAAAACATACAAACTCCACACAGAAAGACCCCGGCTGAGATTGAAACACAGGACCTTCTAGCTGTGAGGGGACAGTGCTAACCACTGCTCCACCGTGCCACATCATGCATGATGGATGAGCTTGAATAGAGAGAATATTGCATCTGTCAGTCCTGTACAGATGATGAGCCATGGACGAGGCAATGCACTGAGGTGGAGTCAGTGCATTGAAAAGTGGATGCAGGCGGCTGGACAACATAACCAACATACACTGATCAACGTTAAAACCACCTGCCTAATATTGTGTGGGTCCCCTTCATATCGCCAAAACATCGCTAACTGTTGGAACAAGGAAATGTGACCTCTAGTGGTGTCCTGTGGTGTCTGACATTGGATCCTTTGGGTCCTTTGGGCCTCTCTGGATGAGGCTTGTTCCGGCAGGTTTGGATACCGGGGCAACACTTCAAGCTCTTTATCGTGTTCCTCGAGCAGTTTTTGCGGTGTGGCAGAGGACACAGTCTTCCACCAGGGAAAGTCATTAACATCGGGACATGAAAAGACCTTAACGAACCCCATTGTGGCAAGGGGAGTACTAACGACTCACTTAACGAGGGGGAGGAGCAACAAACCCCTAGCTGGAACTGAAACTCAAGTGTTAATGGCTCCTTAAGGATATAAGTATGTGGAGCTCCCAACTCGTCAGTCAGAACCGATGAAGCCTCTTGGATGAGAGGTGAAACGTCTTCAAGGAACTCAAGCAAGTCCAGTTGCTACGATTAAACTACGAGAATAACCGCGACCTGGATGATTGTTTCGGTAGGTGGTACGCGTCAAATTAGCATCCATGTGAATGCCGAGACCCGAGATTCCCCAACAGAACGTTGCACTGCAATGAGACGATCAGTGTTATTACTTCACCTGTCAGTGGTTTGAATATTGTGGTTGTGATTGATGAACACAAGGAACACAAAGGGGTGTTCATATTCGGTGAAATTAGAAATATTCTAACCAGTGACTTTCCTCAGTAGGTACTGCTGTAATGTAACAAGTTACTTTTTAATGGCAGTAATATTGTAATGAAAATGAGTATGACACTCCTTGAAATACTTGGAAAATGACGTCAACCCTGGGGGGTAGTGCTTTGTGTATGATGACAATAAAAGCATTCTATTCTATTCTATTCTATTCTATTCAAAGATTGTTTTTAGTGACATTTTTCATAAGGTAGAGATATTGGCACTAATATAAAATCTGTAAGTACACATGGTTCTTTAACCTCAAGGAGAGGCACAGGGCGGACATATTGAACGTCCAGGAAGTTACCATATATGTTCACTTGCCCCACAAAGGGTTAAAAGCAACCAACAGTGTTCATAAAGGCTGCTCTCCTCAGTCAGTGAAGATTCTTTTTATTTATTCCGATTACCGTCCTCAGTGCCATCAACACACACTCTTTTCAGGATGACTTTCCAGGAGAGGTTACTTCAGTGGAATTATACGTGTCACTTCCACTGTCTGACCGAAATCATCTGTGCATTTGTGTTCTTCTACAGGAAGCTGCACTGCACAAGAAACTACATCCATATGCATCTGTTTGTGTCCTTCATACTGAAAGCCGTGGCTGTTGTCATCAAGGACGTCGTTCTGTACGACGTCGGTGAGACAGAGAATTGCCAGTCGTCTGTGAGTATGCTCTTCGCTCTCCTCCTTCTGCGCTGAAAACTCGCTCGCCATCGCAGCGTGTTGTTTTTGTTCCGTGTGCAACTGAAACTTCTTCTTCTGCTCGACTTGTTCAACTGTTGCTTTCTGTCCTAAGCCGAGGCAATGACTCACTCAGACTTTTACTGGCTTAAATGCATTGTATCAGAGTTTACTTAATGTTCTGGGTGTAACTGTGTTTGCTGAGCCTCTTCTACCCCTGAGACGATGCTTCGCTTTCATCTGTCCAGCAGGATGTTGTGAGAGTTCCTGTTTGCTGAACATTAAGCCTGAACTGCAGATAGCTTCGACAATAAATCACATTAAGAGTTCTGATATGTAGTTTTGATCGCTTTATCTCGACAGCCGTGATCACAGCCACAATATCATAAGTGTTAAATGAAGATAAGGGGTTAGATAAGGTCCTGGAGGTGGTACAGTTTCACATAATACAGCTGCTTTATTTTTATGTGATCGATCAAGTGGCCAACGTCAGTGTTGTTTTCTCAGATCTGGCTCCAGCTGAATCCACTGCTTTATTACCAGAGAGGATTAGATCAGCGGCCTCTAAATCACCTGCTTTACTGTCGCTGAGTGCTCATCGTTAATGGCTGCATTTAGATATTTTATCTTCCTCCTCTTCAGATTGTCCTGGTCCAAACACAGCTGCTGAATCCTTCAAATGTTTCTATGGTAAAAAAAAAACAAGACAAGCTTTTGTAGATGAGGGGCTCTCCGCTAGTTTTATGCATTGATCAGTTCAGTTTATTCAGAGGAAGCATTTAGCTTGTGGGAGTTCGAATAAAACCAAAAAATTTCATTTAAAATCACACATTTGTAAGAAACGCAAATTCCTAAAAACGTAGCTGGGAAAAAACCCAATGTTGCGCAATCCATTCATGTAGACAGGGAGGGAATTTTTTATGAAAACAATTTATTGCCCTTGAGGCCCTAAGCACACTGTAATAAAACAAACATTAAAAATACATAGAGAATGATGGGGTATTCCATCCATCCATTATCTATAAACCGCTTAGGGTCACGGGGGGCTGGAGTCTATCCCAGCTGATTTAAAGTGAAGGCAGGTTCACCTGGACAAGCTGCCAGTCTATCACAGGGCTACACTTAGAGACAGACAACCAAGCACACTCACATTCACACCTACGGACAATTTAGAATCACCAATTAATCTCAACATGTTTTTGGACTGTGTGGGAGGAAGCCGGAGAACCCGGAGAGAACCCACGCTGCACGGGGAGAACATGTAAACTGCACACAGAAAGATCCCCGGTGTCCTCACCGGGATGCGAACCGGCGACCTTCTAGCTGCGAGGCAACGATGCTAACCACCGAGACACCTTGCAGCCCAATTCATTCATTCAGTCAGTAAATGTATACATTATTAAATGTAATTCAATGAAACAGGAAAAATCTCTAAAGTAGCTAAAAAAATAGTTTTAAAATGATATACCATTTTTCAGTCATTAACATACATATTTCTTCTTTTAAATTACAGCAAAAATCTATAAAATAATGATGCTTTTGCTGAGTCAAACACAGTGATAACTGTGTAGTTTTACTGTCAAACATTGTAAAAGAACAAACTACCATTTGTAAAAAATGCTTATATTTGATGGGGCTGTTTTTGACAGTGTAGCTTGTTTTTTTTTTATTTACGCAACATTTACAAAAAAGTTTATCCATAGTTATTATCCGTAATTTAACAAAACTGGGAAAAATCTGTGAAATAATATATTGTTAAAGAAATTACAGTTAAACACATTTTAAAAGCATACATTTATTTTTACAGTGTGTAGTATATTCAGCTCGATAGCATGGAGAGGGTGGAACAGTGTGACATTGTTAGGTAGCAGAGATTGCAGCTAAAACGATGAAAAAAAAAAATCATGGAAACACAGCACTGGTTAATATAATGATATAGACGGAAGCAAGTTGCAATGACGCAAGTACGTGTGCATGTGTATGTAACAAGTGCTCGAGTAGATGTTTGTTTATCTTAGATAACAAAGAACGAAGCGGAGGTCAGTGGAACAGACGCGAGCTGTAAAGTCGGCCTTAGAGCTCGTGGTTCCAGGGTGAAACGACAGGATTAATACCTCTGTCATATCTGTGAAATATGAAGTCATGTTAAGGACTCTCAGCATGAAAACAAACCCTATACTTTCCATGTTTGACCTGCAGGGACTAAAAGTCAGGACATGCTGCTTCAATTACAGCCATTAGCGTTTGACCTGCCTCCATCCTGATAGAAGCTCAATGGCTTTAAAGTGAGAAAAAGAACACATTTAAAGGTGGATTTTTAAGCATCATTGCTCAATTTAATGCACTTGAAGGGTTTTACTTACACAGCCTCGCCTGCTCTGCTATGACCAGGAGCTGGAGGTGGCTTAATGTTTGCCAAATTAGGCCTCATATTGCTTTATGACGGTATAAAGCCAGTTTGCTGATTTCATGACAACCTGCTACATGTGTCATTATCATCACCAGCGGTTGACACAGTGGCCTTAATTCAGCAAATGCTGTTGCTTTAAACCAGCGTGTGATTTTACAGCTCGGCTAGCTCACTCAGAAACAACAGGCACAACATTAGTAAAGCATTTGATTTGGCTTTTATTTATCATTATTCCCAATAACAAGAATATGAACTAAAGCTGCATGAAAAAGACAAAAACTGACATTGCACTGTTTGGTTTTTCTGCATTATATTTCAAAGCCATTTGGAACTTTTCTGGTGTAACACTGGCAAAGGCATCCAACATACGTTTCTGCTTTGGATGGCATACAGAGCTTTGTGGTGCTGATTTAAATGGTCGAACTAATCAGTCGTGTTGCCTCGTGTGGCGACAACAATTGCTCCTGATAGAGTGCCTGTTTTTGGTCAATGTCATCCTTTCTGTTTTTCTTGAAATATTCCCGTAGAGATGATGTATCTTTTTATCATCAAAATCTTCTTTTTTAGTGTTTCTCGCTCATTTTGCTGTGCACATGTGGAGCCTGTATGTCAATCAGATCCGTACAAATAAAAAGTAGCTGCTGCCATTTAGGGTTGTGTTTTTTCTTCTTCTGTTTTGTTTCACAGCAGTTGGCATTAAGAAAATCAATGTAAATTTATTTTGCTTGTTTTGAAATAATGATGAATTGCATCATACATGAATCATAGATCGATAAACGCCTTATTGCACATATGATCGATGATGATGAAGACACAAAAAATTTGAAATGCATGGCAACAAACACAGTTTTAGAGACACTGCATCATTTTACAAATCATCTTTTCAGAGGAGTTTGTGTTGCACCCTGCTCCAGCCGGGGAGGCGTTATGCTTGTTCAATACACTACTACTGTCTTATACCAGCTGAGCCATCAGCATTAATGTCTTCCCATAGCAATGTGAGGAGCTGTAGCTATAACCATTAACATGAGCCTCAAATACACTTGCTGCAGATTACAGATTTAATTAGTCTGTTAGTATAATCAGCGAAACCATAGCGGGAATTTCCTCTAATTATGCTGTGCTCACATCCATCAGTCACTTCCTCCTTGCTGCCTTTGATCACAATGTCTGACACGTTCATTTTCCTATTTGAGGGTAATTTACTACAAACATCTCCCATTTGAGCTGCAACAGGATCACATTTGAATGCATTTACTGCAACAAGTCGCTAACGTGTGAATGTGTTGCAGGTGGGCTGCAAGGCAGTGGTGGTCTTCTTCCAGTACGGCATCATGGCGAGTCACTTCTGGCTGCTGGTGGAGGGCCTGTATCTTCACGCCCTGTTAGCCGTCTCCTTCTTCTCCGAGAGGAAGTACTTCTGGTGGTACATCCTGATTGGCTGGGGTACGCGCGAGCTCCTGCACCATACATTGACGCCAACAATCTCATTTGCAATGAAGATCGGGCCCATCCATTCGCCTAAAGTGGCAGCCAGGAGTCATCATATCATATCAATCGGGGCAACCTGAATGTCTTGTTTAGTCTTTACCACAACAGCCGAAACGAGCTGTATACGATCGTATGCAAATGAATTTACAAGTGAGGCTTTACGCAGCTGCTTCAGGAAAATGCCGAGCCGTTCCATCTGCATATGAATGAGTGTAGCTTAGATTAGCGGTAGCAGGCAGCTGGCTCTCTGCTCTTGTTGTTGAGTCCTGCCATGTTTTTGATATGTATTTAAGTCTGACATAATATATTAATAACTTCCATTATTTACCAAACAAAGAAGTCAAACAAGTAACCTTTTGTATTGTTAATAGATCGGTGCTTTCCATTGAGCGTGCCCTTTTGACAGCTTTCATCAAAATACAAGTATTCATGGAGAGGAACTGGCTGAACCCTGAAGTACTTTGATCATAATTGCGTTTAGAATATTATTATTTTTTTGCCTTTAGGTCCTAGAAGGTCCTTTGAAATTTATACTCAACAATCATCTCTCTCTAAATTTATGATGTTTTTGTTCCCCATCACACCAATAAAGCATCTCTATAAATAGGGCTGAGATGTTGTGTCTGCCCGCAGGAAAATGGAAACAAGCCTGTGACTTTCCTACAGATACCCACGAAGAGCCAATATTGGCACAGAGCACATATGAGTCCGGTTAAAAATGATAAGCATACCAAAAGTGCAATATTGCTTTAGCTATAAAATCACCCTGAAGATTAGACGTGTACACAGGCTCAAGGCTCATGTTTGGTTGTTTGTTGAAACACAGAATTGATCATTTCTCTGTGAGACATTATGTTATTGTTCAAGCAACTTACAGCTAATTCTGTTTTCGCAGGAGTTCCAACCATCTTTATCTCAGCATGGGTGATTACAAAGGCTTTGTTAAATCATCCTGGGTGAGTCTGTCGTTGTCTTAATCTCGCTGATTACAGTAAAGCTGTCATCATTAACAATTAAGATTGACGTGTTGTGCTTGTGGATAGAAATGAATATTTACTCACTGAAAGAATGTACTAATAACATCTAAGTTAGTTGGATGATTCATAGTTGATCTCAAAGTGTTTACACAACCCTATAAAACCAAAATACGGCACAAATTTATCCAAAATACGTTGAAACCAGACTTTTTGAAAACCTTTTTACTACATAAAACATATATTAGATGACTGTAGGTATGAGTAATGCACAATTTCCTAAAAATATCTTGTTGTTAGCAGCCCTCTGATTAAAAAAATAAAAAAAAAAATCTTTAAAAAAAAATCTTTTAACTTTGTTTCCTTTTTGGTGGATTTTCCAAAATTGCAGTGGCAGAGATCTTCATGCTTACAAATATCACCACTGTAATTTTAACTGTAGATTGTTTTGCACTGATGATTCAATAATATCTTAAAATATAGATAAAAATTGTTTGATACACTTTGATAGATCACAGTAAAAAAAACAATCAAGTTTTAAATGGCTGTTTAAAACTGTAAATGTGATCCCTGCTTTTTTCCACATTGTTTTGCTCCACCTATGGATGTGAATGGAGTAGGCCATCCATCCATCCACTATCTACACACTGCTTAGTCCTCAATAGGGTCGAAATAGGCCAAATATTAAAAACATTATGGAATGAAATGAAGTCCAGAACACCAACACCAACACCACCACCCACACTGACCTCAGTCATAAACATGAAATAGGATCAATAGCTGAAATGATTGGGAATGGTACAATCTATGACAGAGCTGGTGTATTTGATTGCATTAGAGTTTACAGTTGTTGCGAATAAAGTATTTGGGGACTGTATATATGGTACACCATTAACCTTAACGCCATAACCTGTGGCACAATTGATGATACAGTGAAGGGGCCTTCAGTGTGAATAAGTGACACCAACTGAAACCCATATTATTACAGGTTTTCTATCACTAAGCATCTTTAGAATGAAGGCAAAAATACTCCAGTTCAAATACTTACTGGGCACATATTGGGTTTGATCCAAAAGAACGAACCAGGGGTCAGAGGGAAATTATTTGAAATTGGAATGTGCTGTGCCTTAAAGTATGAACATTTCCCACCAAAAAAATGCTGCCATGGTATAGTTCAGAATCTGGGGTGTTGGAATATGTAAGGTTTGTCTTTTTTCAGTTAGTTATATATATTACGAGACAGCTGAATACATTTTCCAACTCTAGGCTGAGAAACGCCAAAATCTTCCAGGCAGTTAAAGCAAGAGAGGAGTGAAATTTAAGCTAGCTACCTAGCTAGCTTAAACTCAGTGTTCTATGTAAGAGAAAATGAACAAAAACCAAAATCTGTTTTGATTGTCGAACATGTTAGTAATTCAGTAGGGTATTAGAAATACTCTAGAAAAATAAGTACATTTAATTGACCAGCCCTTCTAAAACCATAGGCTGTACAGTCAATGGCTAAAACTAGCTTAGCAAAGCAGTTAGCCGCCTAGCCTCTGACTGTGGTGATATTAATGTAATTGTGTTTAGTCTACTTTAAAATCACACATTTAAATTTATTGCTGCAGTTCATTTGTTCAAATGAGGCAGAAAACTGAAAGAACTAATTCTGTTTGTAGCGACTGTATTTTCAAGTTTTAAAGTTTGGCTAACGAGCATCAAAACTTTGCTCTCGCTGTTTGTGCAGCTACTTCTCTGCTTGTCTTTGTAGCTCAGTTCAAGGGTTTGATTTATTGATGTTTTTTTTTCTGAGAACCTGTTTATTATTTCCTCTCTTCTGTCAGATGCTGGGAGATAATTGATGACAGGCCTTGGTGGATCATCAAAACACCTATTTTAGTCACCATCCAGGTGAGTCGCAACACCTCCGCATCGCTAACATTTCGCGAGCAGCTCCGCATTATGCAGCGTTAACCCGCCTGCTGCTCTCCTGGCAGGTGAACTTCTTCCTCTTCATTTGTATAATCCGGATTTTGCGACAGAAGATGAATTGCCCTGACATCGGAAGAAAGGAATCCAATCAGTACTCGTAGGTTTTTTTTCAGAATGTCAACATCTCTATTGCAAGCGTGGGTTACAGTTGTCTCTTATCAGGTGGAAATGAATAAATTATTTCTCTGCTGCTGAGGCTTGACATTGAGAAATAGCTCTTGCATGGGGACAAACACAGCCTTGACCCTGGCTTTTGTGGATGTTAACAATGGTGACCACAGACTTTCTATTCACGTTTGAATTTTCTGTTGTTTTTCAGGCGGCTTGCGAAATCCACGCTTTTGTTGATACCTCTCTTTGGAATAAACTACATCGTTTTTGGCTTCATCCCCGAGCACATTCACCCACAAGTGCGGATGGTGTTCGACCTTATTCTGGGGTCATTTCAGGTAACATCCCAACTGCATACAAGCTGTAAGAGTGACACCGCTTTCTCTTTTGACTTCTGCAAGATTGCATTTTAGGCAGATTCTGTGCAACAAGTAAAGCTCCAGATAGATCACAGGAGTCCTTTGCTTGAAAACAGCTTCAGAGCATGAGGACAGTTTGTCTGATTAAGCAGATGGATGGTTCGTTTAGCCGACATGTTTGATTTTTTATGCTCGGATAAAGAGTTTGCTGATTTAGTATTGAATCGAATGTACACACTGAGAGCAAAGTGCAGTGATGGAAAGCTGGCAATGGAAAGTACTCTTAATTTATAACCGCTTTAGATAGAATGATATCTCCTGGGAACATTTCCCAGAGATCCAGATGAACCTCTTGTCTGAGCCCGAAGTTGGTCATAATCTCATATCATTACTCATACACAAATATTTTGAGTGTTCCCCCAGCTGTACTATCACACTGCTGTTTCTTTTCAGCTCTTAGTGGGCGTTTTATCTGTTATGTTTTGTTTTTTTTTTTCTCTCCGGCAGGGTTTTATTGTTGCAGTCTTGTACTGCTTCCTGAACGGAGAGGTGAGTACATTCAAACAAAAGAGCGCTCTTAAAGATGTTTACTGTCCCTCTTATGTCACTAAATCTCATTTTAGCTGCCCCTCCTGCGTGTCATACCCTCTGAACGCCCTATCCTCCGCCTGCAGGTACAGGCAGAGATTAAGCGTAAGTGGCGCAGATGGATGCTGCAGAGGTTCCTGGGTGCGGACACAAAGTACCAGCAGCCCTCCATCGGCAGCAACGGCAACAACTTCAGCACCCAGATCACCATGTTGACCAAAAGCAGCCCGACAACACGGCGGGCGTCTGCGTGTCAGGAGCACCTCTCCGCCATATAAAGCTAACGCGCCTCTCTGGTTTTATCATCATATACTCAATGTGTGCCTTGCATGCACTGTTGCAACACAGTCGATATTTGTTACTGAGGGCCAATAGGCCGTTTTACCACTGAAGCTAACATGTGTTTGTTGTGATTGTATCCATCACCTGTCAAAAATGACGAGTACTGAGTGACACCTGAAGCCACCAGCTGCCAGTTTAATGAATGGGTTGAAAACAAAAAGGAGTATTGGTGGTTTTATAGGCTGCTTTAAGGTCGATTTGGACTCTCATTGTCCTGGAGGTTGGCTGTACCAACAGTCAGGTGTCGGATTTTTTACATGTAGGCAAACAGATTGGCTTGCAACACAGGATAACGCTTGGTTGTGATCACAGGACGAGTCAACCTGAACTGGTTACTGGCAAGTAGAGTAGCATTCACTACGGTAAAGAAACTCACCACCGCAGGCAGGGAGGTCTTCATAACCAGTATGGTCACTGAAGTGAATTCAAGGGAAATGGGAGTCTTGGCCAGCATTTCCCATCTGATGTCAGGAGGGATAAAGCCAGAGACAAGCTGCATCCTATAAGAAGCAAGATGTTTATTAAAAGGGTGTGTAACACAAGAGGACTCCAACCACTTAACCTAATGGCCCATGTTGCTTAGGGGACCGATGGTAACAACGTTGACGACAGTGTCAGGCTGCGGTGAACAGTAGTCACAGAGGTAGAATCTTTAGCATAAACCAGCGTACTGGACGCTCCTATCCTGTCTATGACAGTTTTATACGGGGAATACACTCAGCTGAATTACTGCCGGCAAACATTCCAGAGGAGAGACTAAAGCTCCAGCTTGTGAAATTTATCTCAGATTACAGAGGCTTTTAGTTCCGCCTGAGCGCGCAGCCGCTTAACTAATGGACCAGATGTGTTCCATTAGTCCTCAATACACAAAATTGTAAATAAATGTTTGGTAACAATAACTAACTTCCATTAACTGGATTTTATAGACAGATCCCTTCATACCGTCTTTTGTTTCTAGTCTTTTCTATTTATCGAGCGCTGCCAGCAGGTTAAAGGTCATTTGCAGTAAAATATGTCAGTAAAATACGTCATCTACAGAATGGATTGGCACATTTTTCACGGATCCTGATGCTGAATCCTAATGAACTTTGTTTTTTCTTTTTTAGCCTCATCTTTCTTGAGGTTCACATTTGCAGTTTTGAGTGAAATGTCTCACCAACGACAGAATGGATTTCCATCAGCGTTTGTTTAGACGTTCAAGATGAATTGTAGTAATACGACTGGTTCCTTAAAGACGCCCTCTGCTGAAAATCTATCTTTATACCTTGTTAACATGCCAATATGGTGTTTTCTGTTCGCTGGAAAACATTTCATCAGTGAAATAAGCTGCCAACAGCATGGCTGAGCATTTCTACCTTGAAGCTGCAGAGTACCGATGACAAGAAGTCTGGGTTTCATACATAACAAACCAAAACAATCCATCCTGTCAGCTTAGAGGATGGAATTTTCTTCATCGTTATTCTTCTTCAGAACTGTTTTCTGGTTTATGTACAGCTGAATTTATCTTATTTTAGACCTTGCCGTTGTGTAGCATAGAGCAGTTTTACAGTGTTTGAGCATAGTCGTAGGTGAGCTGGTGTGCTCGAGGTGCAGCAAGTAGCAGATGGGCGGGTGGGTAAAGAAGCAGGGATTTCATAGAGCTGCACATTTTAAAGGAAGCAATGTTGTAGAGTTACATCTAAGCCAGTTTAGGGCAGGAAGGGATGATTTTCATAAAAAGATATATATAAATACGTGATTTTAATGCACAGAGAGGAGTTTTTAGGGATTTAACCAATAATCAGAGAGAGCGCTTAAAGGTGGAGTATGCGATTTAAAGACAACACAGAGTAAAATTCAGTGAGCATCTTCTGGTGGTCTACTAGCTGTCTGTTTTCATGTAGGGATGCAAAGTCTGAGCAGTTTTCTCAACAGATACTCGTCAGCCTCATACATCAACACCACAAAATGAATTCAAATCAAGTGATTGTGTGTCACAGCCCCACTGATCTGAATGCAGTCACATGACACAGGCCCACCTATTTGTCACATCACTGCGGTAACCCTATTCAGGACTGTTGGGGTCTTTTGGACCCCAGGCCATGTGGTTTAGGTGACAGGTATTATTTTTTTATTTTTTAAGATATTTTTTTTTAAATATAAAAAGAGGGACATTTGTCATGCATTTGAAACCAAAAACACGTCAACTTATCAGAACATTTATTTAACATAGTATGAAAGTCTGTAATGAATACCAACAAATATTTTGCATGTGAAGAGTTCATTTGCAAAAACAGATAATTCCATTTTTGTAGATTTTCAGAAAAGAGATAATATCAATCAAACTCAGTAGAAATGACAAAAATAGAGATAACTTAAGTGCTATTGTCTCAGGTAGACGATGGAAATGTGGGTTTTCTGAAGGTTTGTGAAGATGGAGTTATCTGTTTTTGCAAATGAACTCTTCAGATTTTCTTTCTTGGGGTCTAATGGAACCAGAAAGACTATGTGTAGCGACATGAAAGTCCTGAATATGGTTAACAGTTCACTTTACACCCATAATGAGACTAACGCAGCAGTCAGAGCTGTGGCTGGTGAGCATTAAGCGTCACTTTGTCATGGTGGCACTTTACCAGCTAAACTCCCACAATGCTCTCTCCCTGCAGGCCTGACCGCCTCCTCCAGTCGCTACAGTATTAAACAGTGAAAGTGGTGCACCTGGTGGAACAACAAGGTCTTACAGCTAAACCACAATGCATTTTCTGACATGCAAATTTTTTTGTCTTCTATCTTGTCGGTTTTCATTTTTCAACAATTAATCATTAACATCCCTAAAAGAATCCACCTGTTAGCACCAGCAAATGGGAAACAAAGTCACTGGGACTGATCCACACAATACTGATGACTGTGCACGTCCAAGCTTGAGCATGAGACAGGAGGAGAGGAAGAGGGATAGTAAATCTAGCACACTCTAACTAACTACATATGTAAATATACTGAACTAACGCTTTCTCTGGAATCGCAGACTCCACCTTTTCCGCTCGTATCATGATCAGGTTTATTTTGCCAATACTTTCAGTTCAAATACCTGCAAAACTGACGACATCCCCTCTGCTTTAGCTGTACTTTGTGTTTAGAATAAATTATAAGATGTTAGATTAGGAATATAGTAATCATTTAACCTGCCAAACATCACCATGCTAGTGTTTCCACCGGGAGCACATTCAGATCCAAGCATCAGACCCAAAGCGCAGCCTGCTGCCAGGTGGACTCAGCGTTTTGTCTGATGTAAATCCAATTTATCAACTGACTGACATCATGCTTGGTGGTTTTCTGTTCCATAATGTTTTCAGACATTTGTTTGAAGCCACGTTCTCTTCGGATTAGACATGTTCATTTGTCCACATGTACATACAGTGACAGCGTCTCTTCCCATAGCAGTCATGTTGATGTTTACTTTTAGTTCCTCTTCTTGTTGTACCAGTGTGTGTGTAAAAGTGAAACTGAAGTAAAATGAACTGAAAGTACCTCAGACTGTAGGTCACACACAGCTCTCGTTGTATATAACGTTTCCCTACAAATGTGGACAACGCATTGTTTTCTCAAGTGTTTTATGGTGATACTTTCAGTGCTCAGGTGTCAGCTGGAAATCAATGTTTACATTTCAAACTGCTCGTGGTGTTTGCGTAATGTCAATGTAAAGTTGACGGTGTTGACAGTGTCTCTCATTTGTTGCCATGTAAACATTTTTAAGCAAATGTGGTGTACTGTGCAGTATGTGGAGTCAGATGTAAAGGTGTCTATGAACAAAATGTTAAATGAAGAGGAATAAAAAACCATTTGCACTGTGGATAATGCTTCACTACACGTCACTGACAGAAACGGAGTCATCCATCGTCTTTATTTCTATTTAAATAAAGCATTACAGGTAATAAAGACACTTTATGACATAGTATAACAAAACACAGATGTACAAATCAACATTTTAGTTTCTTATAAAATAAATTTGGCGTCATGTTCTAACTCATGTCCTTCTCCTCCAGCTCTACTGAGCATGTATCTGTCGCCCCCTGCTGGACAACACGAGACAAAACAACTCGATGCTGATTTCGTAACACTTCTTTTTTTTTCCCACCCCCAGAGACCAAGTTCAAATATTACCCTGAAACATTACATACCCTCATCTAATTTGGGCCAGTGTCCATAATGAGTACACTCATTTGCCTCCTCGTTACATCATTAACCTCACAGCACCAGCAGTTCAGTTCAGTTATAACTTGGTGAGACGCAGAGTGTTGAGAGACACTGGAACAATGGTGGATCCTTCCGCATAGCTAATCTCACGCAAAATCCCATTCCAGCACTTTTCTGGCTCATCATACCTGCAGGAAAGATAAATATGTTAATGCTGGGTGCCCTTATAGCGCCTTAAGATAGCATACAGTAATAAGAAATGGGATCTCAGCAGCGTTAGGATCAAATAATCCTGATTTATTTACCCGCTGTCGGAAGAGATTTGTTAAACTACTTGCATCGTCTGAGCTCGATTGCCACGTCACTGCTAGTTGACAACGTAAAGTTAAACCTAACGTATGCCTTTTAGTTGGCCTTTGATTCACTGACACCTTGACCTTTTCTATTACTGTGTTGTGTTTTTGTTCTTCCTGTTATTTTATTAGTTCTATTTTGTTTCAGCCTTTAGTTGGCTTTTCTTGTTTTATTTCATTGTTATTATTTATTTTGTCTTACTTAACCTCTTACGACACATATGTGAACATTACATTTTGGGTTATATTACCACAGTAGTTAATTTTTTAATTTTTCTTTATTTTAATTTTGTTTTTATTATTTTATTATTGTTATTCATTTATATTTTTAATATATATATATTTAGATATTTTTATATATTTTTAAAATATATTTTTATTTTCTTCATATTTGTTTATTAATAAAAAAA